CTCTCTCTCTCTCTCTCTCTCTCTCTCTCTCTCTAGCTCCCTAGCAGGATGTGCTCAATCACGTTTCGGTGTACTGTTTCCAATCGCACTCGATCTCCTTCACTAATAGCAGATGTTTTCAAACTCGCTTCCTGTTTAGTCTCAAGATGCTATGTGGCTGGCAGGGTTGGGGGTGGGGGGGGGTTGAATCGCTTAATTATTTTCCTGAGGCACAAAATGTGCCTTTGATTACATGCAGTGGAGGAGGGCAGCAACCATCAATGTTTCTTTGTGTAAAGGGGGCGCCGACATGTCGACTTGTGTCATGCTGGGTTATGCTGCTGATGGTCGTGGTTCATCGACGGGGTATTTATGAATAGAGGTCATCAGCTGGTGAAATTTCTAAAATCCCTCCCCCTTGACTAAATTTAGCAACGATTATTATTATTATTAATGCATCAAAGAATATATTCAAGTAATTTTTTATAGTCATGGCAACCAAGCAAACATTCGCCATATTGGATAATTTCACCATGGGTTTTTTGGAGGAGCTGCCAATGTTGTTCTACCCTCTTGATGTAGTCATATTATAGGAAATGGGCGGCACTTTCGAAGAGCCACATTTTAAACCAAATACATTTATAAAAGGGTTAAACCTATACGTTCTTACTCTGGGCGTTTAGGGTTAGACAAATATCTGTTTGAATTCCGTTAGGGGTCGTCGGATCCACGTTGTATCCTTGGGGAAAGGCGCTTTACGTGAATTTTTCTCACTTCACTCAGGTTTACACCCCGTTACACCTTGTCCTCTGTGTTGGGGTCACAACAGTCGGAAAAACTCAGGTGTGAAAGGGTGCTCTGCAACAGAAAACGAACGATCTTGTCAGCGTATCAGTGTTTTAGCACTTGTAAAATGGCAGCTAATATTGTATGCTTCTCAGGAAATTGAGATTATTTCAGAATCCTATCATGTCGGTTGGGGTAATAATATAGATTATAAATCGCACAGAGCTTGCCTTTCAGTGGGATTGTATCACATAAATACTGTTTATTATTATGCCATTTCCATATCATACATAATATCCAGTAAGTTATCAATATAATATCATGTTTGAAAGACATTATTAAAACAATGACATATGAAATACTTCTTTATAAGCAACTACATTATAAACGTAAAGAGAACGGTAAAGGAGCATGAAAGAGTAATTTCTTTTATATTTTTAAAACTATAGGTATATCCTCTACAGTCTACAGCAATATATTAAAAAGGAATCCTGCATTTAAATGTGGTTTGTTTAAAAATAGCGACAGCGTTGACAACAGTGGCAGAAGTAAACCAAATAAAAGCAAATTCAGTAAATATTCTTACAACAACAGCAACACCACCACCACCACCACAACAACAACAACTACTACTACTACTACTGCTGCTACTACTGCTACTACTACTACTACTGCTGCTGCTACTACTGCTACTACTACTACTACTACTACTACTACTACTACTACTACTACTACTACTACT